CCACCCAAATCTGAGTAGGGGTGTAGAGCATCACATGGGCACCTGAAATCTAGGGCGGAGCTATGCGCCCGCCCTTCAGAAATCTACACTCCGGCAGCTCTGCCTTGCCATTTTCTGAGTCGCCCCATGAGCATGCCCAGCTCGGCAGGTGAAGGCCTGTGTCTGGGGGCACCAGGGCTAGGAAGGGGGCATAGTGTCGGGGGAGAAGCTGAGCTGGCACGGTCTGTCATTGCCTGTCCACCCAGGGGTGAAAGGAACTTAAAGGACTTACCAGTACTCTGGAGTCCTGCTCTGGGGGGGGGGCGTGGCCTCGACCGGAAGAGGCGGGGCCTTTAAATACCCAGGCCCTTTAATCAAGATTTAAAGGCCCCAGGGCTCTGGCTGTGGCTGGTACCCCTGGGGCCTTTAAATCACCCCCGGAGCTCCCAGCTGCCTCTGCAGCTGGGAGCCCCAGGGCTCAGGGGTGATTTAAAGGCCCCCCGCCGCTACCCCAGGGCTTCGGCAGCGGGACTCAGGGGGGTGCTTTAAAGAGCCCGAGGCTTCCCAAAGCAGCTGGAGACCCTGGCCATTTAAATCACCGCCAGAGCCCTGCCACCGCTACCCCAGGGCTCCGGCAGCAGGGCTTGGGCGGTGTTTTAAAGGGCCCGGGGCTCCCCACAGCAGCCAGAGCCGCGGGACCTTTGTAGCACCACTGGAGCCCAGACACCACTACCTCAGGGGCTCCAGCAGCACTTTAAAGGGTCTGGGGCTCCGGCCGCTGTGGGGTACTTGCTCTCGCCTGTATGCCGTACCGGACCGTACTGGCTTATTTTCACCTCTGCCTCCACCTGAAAGTCGGGGCCCACCCGAATTTCCACTCCTAGCTACACCACTGTCAAAAAGGGACAGTGCTTCTGAGAGGCCCAGTGCACAAAGGTACTGCACAGTCTATGTTGTCCTTTAGATTGATGCAGTGGTGCACTTGGCCTGATCTGTGTCAAAGGGCAGCTCCATGCCTCACTTTCTCCCTACCTCTCCCATGTGCCTCCCCTGGGGAGACATGCTTCCCTGTGAGTGCATGGAAGAAGGAGTTTCTGCCCTTCCCCGTGCACAGGGACTGCAATTGTGACTTAATCTTACACTGGCCACATATGAGTGAGTCTGGAGGCTACTTGTACTTTCCTCTCTTCCCTCCGTTCACACACTGTGGTGTGAATGTTAAACAACCCCCACAGTGCCCAATCCACACAGGGTATAGATCTGTTATGGCCCCCAGCTATGGAGTCTGGTTCTTTAGCTGCACTAGTAAAGATCTGTGCTTTCAGCTCTCGATGTCCCTGGTTCAGTCTCCAGAGTTGGTCAAGATAGTGGCTGTCACACAGTGACCAAATTATGACAGGTTCAACAGAAGTCCAACTCACAAAGATCACCAGCACAACTGGCACTAGCTGGGCATCCTGGAAGGTGTTGCTCTTTGGATAGGTAGAAGGGTTGGGAGTAATTCACAGGCATGAAGAGTTTGCTTGAGAAGCAGACATTTATTACAATAAGACTAGGACCATCGCTTACGATAACTTCTTAACTTCCTGGAGCAGGAGTCTTCTTTCTGTACTGGGCTCTTCCCAATTTTGATTTACGCTGGACCCCTTTGGGCGGGGTGAGTTTCTCTGACTCTCCAAGAGTTTACCCAATCAGAAGGAAGAGTCTGTTCATCTTCCCCACCCCTTACCTATCATTCCTTTATTTACTTTCCACGTCAGCTTTCCTGCCCCCACCAACTCTTGTACTGCGCAGAGAGGTGCTGCTGGTATGCCATATAGAAGCCACAATGAACAGCTTCCCCAGTGGTCCAGTTTGGAATTACACCTGCCATTTTAACTTATATTTGGCCAAAACCCTCAATTTAACATTGTTTTATACATGGTTCTTGAATATGAATATCAGTATAACCTGCACAATGAACACTAGTATTGAAAGCATGGCCTCATTGTTCCTCTTCTCTCCCTACTGAAATGCTGTCCTTAGAATTAAAAATCACAGTAAACGAATATATTTTTTAAAATAACACTATTTTATAGATCAGTTATACACTTTCATCATCCTAGAATCTCTAGCATTTGTGTTGGATGCCTTATGGTGGCATCTTGGCTCTTTTAAATAGTTACACAGGAGAATGTTCCGTGGTTGTCTCATGCAGACAAGGGATGTTGTTTTCTTTCAATGTCCATTTCCATTGGCCCTGCTGTCTCTGAAGACTCATCACTGACAGCTCGTTCAGTCTGGTCTTCTAGGCATTAAAGTGCTGCTCTTTGTTGGTAGAGGTAATGAATTGGCAGTATAATCTTGTAAAGGCTTGGCATATATCCAGTTACAGGTGCCTTCACCAGTTCACCTGTCTTCCTTTTGGATTCTCTGTGTCTTCTCTTTGTTGTTTCTGTACTCCTTCTTTGTCATTTTGGGTTGATATTCCAGCTGAAGTCACAGCTGGTAGGTAATCACAGGCAGAAGATTCTAAAGAAGTACTTTACTTGTATCTGTTTCTCTTAGGGGTTTTATCTCATATACATGGCCCTCTCTTCTTCCCTCTTCTCCAGTATAAATTGTATCCTCCCAATATCATCATCTTTTCCCTGGCTCGCCACATTCACATAAGTTCCTTTCCAGGACTCTGTCTCCAGGGTGCAAGCACTGCTCAGAGCTTTCTGTCTGCAATCACACTACTGAATTTCTCCTGTTTTCCATAACAACTTGTCGGCCCTCTTCAGCTGTTCTCTTCATCAGTCTGCATAGTTGGTTCAGTCCTCCTCTCTGGATGGACACCAGTCAGTTGTTAATGGATCCCACTGCTGAAACCCATATGCTTCTAAGCCCCCTGCATCTGGGTAATGACTCATCACTGTCCCTAACCCTTGGTCTCTCGGGCACACTTCTGGATGGACCCTGGGTGTTTGATGCTATTCTTGGGCAGTGGAATATGTCCAATTGCTTAGACATATTCCCCCAGGATCCACCTGGCTGTGAGAGCTCTTGTTTCTCAGCTAACCCCTTCAGGGACAGATGAGCCAGGAATGCAGGCGTAATAAAGGAATTTGTTAACCATACACTTTGCTCTTAAAAAGCACACTAGGGAATTATGGATCTTTGGGGAATGGCAAACAGTCCTGAACACAACCCCCCAGGCCTGATCTCACCCTTCCTGTGAGTCCTGGGTTTGGGCAGCATCCTTAAGCTAGGTATCCCTTCTTGTCTTCTTACTTGCCTGTGGCAGTGGTCTGGCCTAGTGCTTAGAGAAGCACCCCTCTTCACCTCTGTGCTTTCTGGAGAAGTTCTAGTCTCCAGCCCGCTCCCTGGCCCCATCAGTTTCTGAGTAGACAGTCATTCAAAGTCAATGGCCCTACTGATAGAAAATCTATTGTTCCAGTAGGGAAGTTATCCAACATTGGTGGCCCTTGTTTGCTCAGTCTCAGCTTTTTAGAATTTTCCACTAGCTATCAAGTCCCTGCCACAAAATGGGTGCTTTAATCTACCCTGGAGGTTACAACACAGCATGAAGGTCACACTCCAAGAAGGAGGTTACAGTACAAAGCAGAGCTTCTGAAACAAAATGGGTTTCACAATTTGATACAGACATATCCTCAAGCTGTCACTTTTGGCATGACTATTTCCCACTTTATTCTGTACACAGTCAAACCTATCTATAGGAAATCTTGGCGATGGGACCATACAGCAATAAAATGGAGAACACCCATTTATGTTTGGAGCAATTATAATCATGCACTATGTGGTACAGACAGTCCTTCTGAATGTATTGTTCCTCAGACAATGTATCATTACTGAGAAAGTTCTGCAGACTGTTTCAACTGGGTTCCTTGAAGATGGTCAGGTGTGGTGGTATGGATGCTTTGTATCTCACTGTACTCCCCAAGTCTCTTTAAGAGTTGATTCTCAAATTCCTTATGCTCATGGATCTTTTCGGAAAATTCAGATTGAAGGACAAAGTCTCTGAGTACTTTATTGTCAAATGTTCTGCTGGATTTATTGGCTGTTGGAGAGATCTGTGTAAATATAGTGAAATGATGTGTTCTCTACTTCCTTTTACTAATGTCTAAATGCAGCCAAACAATGGAGAAGGGTGGTGGCTGTTGTGCTCTGCCAAGGGCTTGTGATTTTTTTCTAATTATTAGGTCTTTTCCATTCAACATACTGACAAACATGCCAATAACTCATCAATTTCTTTCCTCATTAGTGGCCAAAAGAATCTCTCTTGTGCCAAATGAAATACTGTTCAGTCCTGAGGTGAGCCATGTTCCTCATGTGGTGAGGTGTATGTGTTTCAGTCTTATTACAATGAAGATTTATGACTTGTAGCATATGAATATCCCTAAGCTCTGTGTAAACCAAAACCCGGGCCAAAAACATGACCTCATCTTTCCACAGCCGTACACAGTGTACATATGCTGCCTCATACCTAGGTGGCTTCTCCTGAGAAGAGGTGAGGCACATTGAGTGATGCAGTGCGGTGAAAATCTGCTTCTACCCTCTCAATAATCAGAGGAGTTCAGGCTGTAATTCCAGTGCTATTTTTCTCCAGCACTGCATTCACTCCCCAGAACATTATAAAGTTGACATGGTTCTTCCATCTTTCTAAAATCTGGCTAGGAGCCTCCAATCAACTGTTTGGCAGATGTTAACCAGAATCAGAGGTCTCCGCACAAACAGCTACAGAAGGAAAGTTCAACAAGAAATCAATAACAACACTACACAGACCCTGTTTTGTAGCTTTGACTCAGCTATGGAGCACATTTTTAACAGAAGAGAAGAAAAAGTGTCGTTCTCCAAGGCAGCTGGTGGCTCTCATTCTTTAAGGGTTTGCTGTTTGCAAAAAAAAAAAAAAATCCAATTTTTAATTTATTTTGTTTATTTTTTTGCTTCCTTATGTTTTGCTGCTGTTTTGAAAAACTGCATTTAAGCTGAAGGTTTTTTTTCTGTATTTTTTCTCCCCACTTTTTTTCCCCTTAAAGCCAGAGAATGAGCAAGGTCGTAGAACTTCTCTAGAAAAGTTCACTCGCAGTGTGGTAAGTTCCTTATTTTTTTTTCTTTCCTCGGCATTTTACTTTTAGTTGTGGGGTGTTGGTGCTTAACTTTTTAGTTCTTTTTTAATTTTTTGGCAGCTAGCCTTTTTGCAGCTTTTCTTTTAATTCAGTCGCTCATCAAAACTGTAGCTCTTAAGAAAGGGTTGTTGGGGGGAGGGGAGCAGAATTCCATAATGTGCAATCTGGATAAAAATCACCACATCAATAGGCCAATTTTGGTTAGCGTTAAAAGGCAGGTTGTGGTTTTGCTATTTTCACACTACAATATTTGTTATGGCTTACCTTGCACATTGTAGTAGGACAGCATGGTTATAATAGCGTCATTTGTATTGTATCCATATTGATTTCTATGCATGGTTAATGATAACATATATATAAACACATATATACCCATATTGCACCTTTTATGTATCAACTGCAACAACTTCCTTGGTAGCCCAGATTTGTTGGTGGTGTTGTGAGAAGGTGATGTATGATGATGAAGATGATAGTCAGAATGTGGTTGAATCTGTAAGAAGCTACTGTTCAGTACAAGATTTTGTGAAAAGAACATGATCTTTATTACATTTTCAAACACCTGTGTAATGAAGGAATTGTACTACATGTAGATACAGTACATATGCTTGTATTTGTGTGTGTACATACATGTATGTATATTTTTATATAATACATACGCATGCACCATATATATAAAGATAAAATATTTGGATACACAGATAGAAAAGGGGAAACTACTCAGGTAAGTGTGAGCTATAATACAATGTGTAGGCATCAAGGGGTTCTTTCTGATGCTGTCATGCTAACTATACAAGCGAAACTCAGTTGTGACATCTGATATGTCTGCAGACTCCAAAGATGTGTGTTATCTCTACTGGCAGGTTTCCTCTGTAGTGCTTTAATATAGTTAATGCATATGGGAGACATAAAAAACCCCATGTTTACAACACAATCATATACAAAATATTACTCAGCCAATCTGTGTGTGTGTGTGTGTGTGTATTCTAAAATTGTCAGAAAGCGAGAGAGAAGAAAACAAAAAGAAATATAGTATAGATATTTTTACACTTGGAGCCAGATTCTGCTCCCAGTTATGCTCATATATACTGAGAGTAAGTCAGTGACTTTTGTGGAGTAACTGGTTTTACAGTAGCATAATATGGTTCTGAGAGCAGAATATGGTATTTAGGATTTTGATTTCAAGATTAGTATGAAAATCTCATCTCGAAGTACTAGGGTTATGGTATAAAATATAGTCAAGGCAATCATCATAGATTGATCTATAGTTTAGGTATTGCAGTAAACTGTAAATGATGTCCTTGCATTTTATAGCTGGTATAAATTGGTTTAGCTGTACTTTAATTTCTATGGATCCAAGCCAATTTACATCACCTGAAAATCTGACCCATATGATTTTTAACCTGTCATTGTCGCTTTAAACAAAATAATTGTTCTTGTTTAAAATCTTATGAGATCAATAAGCTGTTTTAAACAACACAGGAAACTGGATTTCTGATAATATTACAGACTACTAATTTTTCCCCCTTATGCCTATCGTCATGTGATCAAAACTCTTTTGGCCTGATTTTCAGTTACACTGTTTGTGCACTAGAGACAGGGCTGAGTGGGCGGGGGAGAGATGATAGTTTTAAGCCATCTTTGTGCTCACTGTATTCAGGACCCAGGAAAGCACTGACAAGGCCTATGATGTAAATTGGAGCTATTCTAATTTATGGTCTGCTTCCCCAGGCCACTTAAGTGCCCTGGGAAACTGAGAGTAGACATAAGCGAGTGCAGCCCACCTATGTTCTAACATGTCCACAATCTGCCTCCTTTACTGTGTGTTGAGAGCACAGACAGCACCAAGCCTTTTTGTTGGTACTACATCAGCTGAGGAGGACCTCTGAACCTAGGTACTACATCAGCTAAGCAGGACCTCCCTGGGGGCTGTATCCACACCATTTAAGTCTCTTTATGTTGCCAGAAAACCATAAAACGAGCCTTAGTGTAAGTGAAAATTGGACCCTCAATATTTCTCTGTTGTGACTTATTATATGTCATAGTTCCTTGTTGTCAGGGGCTGGGAAGTGGGTGGTCTGACACAGTGGTCAGAGCAGGAGTTGGGCAATGGGAGCAAGGATCAGAACCAGAGGATGGAATCCAGAGTCAAAGCCAGGAATCAGAGCCGAAGGTCAGGACCAGAGTCGGAGGCCAGAGCTGAATTAGAGTCAGGGAGTCAAGCCAAGGGAAGAAAAGCAGGAACCAGGAAAAAGGCAGGGATGAAGTCAGGAACCAGCATCAAGGCTGGGAGTAGCAACAGCAAGCCAGGATCCACTTTGTTGCACAGACAGCGTCTTGTATCCCCTTCTGGGTTAAATAGTGTACCTGGTCCAAACAGTGGCTCCAGAGATCCTCCAACCAGGGCCTTGTGGCATGGGTGGTACTTTCAGTGGAATGTAAGGTGCTAGGGCTCCCAATATGCCAGTCCCTGGCAGGCTGTTGGGTGGAGTTGTGAATGTGGCAGCAGCCCATGGGCCCGGGTTCAGGACCTGTGGCTCCTCACACTTGTTTGATGAATATAGAGGTGTGAAAAGAGAGATTCCCAGTACTGGAGAAAAGGACAAACATTTATTTTGTTATATGGTTTCTTCAAACCACAAAATATTTTGCAGTTTTTGTCTCATGTTTTAGGTAAAAATGAAATACAAGCTTTTGTTGCTTCCAAAATGCCTTCTCGGGTGGGTGAAATGCTTTGTGGGCTCAGTCCCTAAGCTCTTAAATATAGTGTCATGTTCTGAGGTTCTTGCTATCCTGGATGATGTAGTTTAACTCCAGACCAGGTAGACTACTATCAGAAAAGACGCCATGGCACCCTACTAGCCAGACCGAAACTTGGAGCCTTCAGGGATGACAAGTGAGTAGTAAGGAAGAGCAAGACCTTATTAAGATGATTCTTTTCATCCTGAACCTTAATTTCTACAAATCCATAAAGCCAGGACTTCTCTTGGGATAGTTTTGACTCAGAAGGAGGTTCACAGATGAAATTGCGTAAAATCTTTTCTTAGTGTAAAATCTTTTCTTACTGTAAAATGTGCCAAGTTTCCCCAGAAGCCAGATACCACCATTTTCACATTAAACCCAACAGAAATGGCAACATTTTGCCCTTCAGCAGCTTTCAGAATTGTCAGAAAAACAAATGTTTCATGTTTTACTTACAAATGTTCCTGAAGCAATGATTGATATCTTTGCACAACTACACGGGGAGGGTACTCATTACTCCACGACCCTTATGTAACAAAGGGTATATTCTGCAATTGCTCCCCAGTGGAGCTCCACATTGCCACCAAAGGGAGTTCTACCTGCAGAATCAGGGCATTATATTTCATGTCCCAGCTCACTTGACCTGATAACTCACAACATGCCAGATATCCTCAGACTCCTCAACTTCTCTTATGAAATATTTGCAGCTCATATTTTCATTGTTATTTTCCTTTCTGCTTCTGAGCCTCAGGCCTCCTCCAAGCAGTCAGGAAGTAACACATGGGCAATGACATTGTCACTGTACATTGTGGCAGCATCATCAACACTGCTGTCTATTCACACCCATGCACTCTTCCGTCAAGCTCTGGCTTTACCCCAGCTGTACCACAGCCAGGGGGAACAGCAGTACAGTCTTAGTACCAAATGTCACAGCCACCTGTGCAACATTGGTGGTCCATGTATGGTCCATGTATATACTGTGGAGCAGATCTCACAGCTGTTCTCTGCACAGAATTGTCACTGATTTTACACGAGAGTTCTGTAAGTGGAGCAAATGCAAAGTTCTCTTCTAATGTAGGGTGAGTCCTTAAAAAATATATGGACAGATATACAGGTCTGATGTAAGCAACTGCAACACTTCTGCCAGGTGGAGTCGGCAGCAACAAGAGCCAGGTTCAATATCTAGGGATTTCTCTTAGCAATACAAAACAGAACTGGCTCAAGCCACACCTGGTAATCCGGAAAAATTAAGCACCACCTTTGGGTGCTTCTAAGAGGCAATACTTCCCCTGTCACAAGCACTGACTCTGTGTAGAGCAAGGAAAACTTTTAATAAATGGGGAAAAGGAATCCAGCATTAATTTGGGAAAACACCACTACCACAATTTGAAAGCAAATGACCATGAGATAGCAAACACCCCAGAGCATGCTGGGCAGTGTCCTTTGCCTCAGTTTCTCACCTTTCAGCATGAAAGTCCAACAACAAATGTTCCTTTAACATATCACTCCTCTCTCTCTCCACTGCACCCCACTCACAGTTGCTGTCCATGGTCAGTGAAGACCCACAGTTCAGAGGTACATTCATATGAGTTCACCGCCCGTCTAGGGGAAGCGGGGAAGCACCAAGCAATGCCTCAGCTACTGCACTGCGGCTGCAACTGGCTCACAGTGGTTGCCATTCACTCTGCCACCATCCCACTGCCACCGCACTCTGCTACCTCTGTCTCTCTGCTGCAACATGATGGTCTGAGGTTCCACCACTAAACCCAGTCTCAGTGATTTCAGAGGGTAGTGGGGAACCTCACTGCTAGTGCAGGCTGTGCAGTGACTTTCACTGCAACACTATTCCACACCTGGGTAAGGCTCAGCACCTGGTTATTACTGATTTCAGCGCTAGTGGTCACTGAACAAAAAAAGGACTCTCGATGGAGTCCAATCAGCTGTCTTTAAACAGTACAAAGGGGAGAGTCAAATGTTGTCCAGGGCTCCTTAGGCAGAGCCCACACCCCTATGTCAGAACACCTGTATCCACACTCTCTCCTTCACTGGGATTTGGTATCCCTAACCCCTACTTAGTGAGTGAGATTCAGTTTAGGGGGAATTCCTCATTCAGGGCAGGCTAAGTACAGTTCTGCTATCCTTTTTTCATACACTAAGGTTAACATTTCATTACCACTGCACGCAATACTGAAGTGATCTGTAACCCAACACCAGCCAAAAGTGAT